TCTCTCTGCTGGTAGACCCACATTCCCGATGGCATTTCGTTACAGATATACCTACTTTAAATACTCTCTATGTCTGTTATAATATTTAGAATTATGGACTTATCAAGGTAGTGGGATTTTTCCATTTAGCACCCATCCAGCTTTGAAGCATTGTATCTGCTATTATTATTATTATTATTATTATTGCCATTTATATAGCACCAACAGATTCTGTAGCGCTTTACAATATTATGAGAGGGGGATGTAACTATAAATAAGACAATTACAAGACAACTTACAGGAACAAAAGGGTGAAGAGGACCCTGCTCAAACGAGCTTACAGTCTATCTGTTCTGTGGTGTGCTTCTATGATTATATTTCCAATGTCCGTCCCACTCGGACCCTCTGCCAGTCTTTCAATGGGATACCTTGCAATCTCCCAAAACAGCCTGTTTGGGTCTGCCAAAGATGACAATCGTTGATCTTTTCTGAAGGTTCATATAAACTTTTTGCTTGTTTGGAATGTAGATGTATTCCTTGTTTTGGAATAGTATCGAACCTGTCTTGTGCTCCAGTGATTGTTGTAAAATGTATGCAAATTTAGCCCTATTTTCATTGATCCAGGTTTTGAATTTTGAAATATTTAAAAACTTGACACTGCAAGAAAATTACAAATGTTTAATACATAATTTATTTTCATAGTAATTTAGTTACACGTTTGCAACATGAGAATTCAATAAGTAGTTGTAATATTATTTAGCCCATACAAAAATAAATAATCAGTGTTCAAATATTTTCTTAAAATAAAGTAAAATAAAGTAAAATAATTTAATAAATTATACATTCAATGTATAAAATAAATAACTCAAATATTTTTAAATAAATAAATATTTTAGCATTATGTCTTGAAAATATCAACTAGAAATAATACGTTGTAGTAAGTTATGGAAATCCGTAAAGAACTGCTTTCCGTTTTGCATTTCTGAATTCTTAATGCACGCATCGCACATCTTGTTCTGTAAAAATAAAAGTGTGTTACAAGCAGCTCATGGAAGCCTTACATATCAAGATATCTAAACAGACTGTGACATGCAAATATCCCACCCACTCCCATCCAAACCACAAACTGACTACTACCCTGACCAGTTTTTGTTTGTTCAATAAGGCACACTCAGTGCACTATACCCACATATTCTGTTTGCATAGCTTATGGGGCAAGGAGGACCATACCTCAAATTATCGATTTAATTATAAATTCACTTAAAAGCAAAAAAAAAACACAGGGATTTACCCACTCCCCGGTTGTCAGACAATGCTGTACAAGTTCTTAGTAGTTACTACGGTTCTGTGATAGCATTCTAGGGGAAAACCTTTGCAGAAATAATATACAGCTTAATTTATTAAAATAACATGACAGATGTGTCCTCAATATTAAATTACATATGAGTGGTGACATGTGTGATTGGAAATGCAGCTGGGAGATGAGGATAAACTACTTATCCAATAATTTCCTACTGTACAGGGATTTATGACATATGCTGAACTCCCAATGAAAGTAATGGGAGCATAAGGATTGGCTGAGCCAATTCCTGGTTTGGTGAAAATTAAATGCAAAATCTGTGAACTATAGGGATTTGCAGCAAGTGATTCAAAAGTGATTATAATATATATTTTATGGGGGTTTTTTATTTTTTTTATTCCATTATATTTCTTGCCTAAGTCATATAAAGCATTAAAAATGTAACTCGATTCAACGTTGCTGCATCCCTTTAAGTGCATATTATCATTCTTCATATACCGTATTTGTCATGTACACTGCAGATAATGAAAAAATAGATCTTAATGTATACAGACATTTGTAGACTGCATCTGTGGTCTCACCTCACCCTACTAAAACAGGAAACTATTGTCTTGTACGCTGTCTCTTTTTCCTCTTATGTTTCCAGGTATGTAAAACAGCAGTACTATGTTTAACGTAAGTCATCATTTTTATATAGCATTTGTTACTGGTGCCATGGAGAAATCAACAATTTGTCGTTTTATATTATTTGCTCTGTCCTGTATTTAAAATGCATTGATTAAGTTAATTGTCTCATACTATGCAAAGTCCTTTGATTTTTTTTTTTGTGAACCTTTTCTCTTTCACTGCTGGTAATAGATTAGCACGCATATCATGTTAGTCAGAGGCTGATAGCCCTGGATGGCCGGGTATGTCATTAATATTATGCACCAGCAGTGGGTGTTTGACTAATAGGAAGTTAGAGTGTACACCTCATGTTCCTTCTGTCACTATGCTGGCGTTGTTAAAAGGAGCAAAGGTTCTTATCTTCACTTGTTGTAGTATTGCACTATGCTAAACCAATTATGGTAGCAGCTTCAGTTATGGAGAGGTTTCTAAACACCCATATAGTCCTGTCCAAACAAATATTCATCCTAAAAATGTTGCCTCAAATACTCCCAGAGGATAACATTTCCTTCTTTTGCACCCTTCCTTTTGTATTTGAGAAATATGTATATTCTCCAGATATACTATAACATTTAATTTGACCTTGTCATTTAGAGCATATCTATTTTGCAGAGGTAAAAAAAAAAACAAAACACAAAACAAAGGATATTCCTGACTTCATGTACTCTAACCAATACTTACAAGTAGTGATGATGAAACATTTTCACACGAGCTTTCTGTTATGTTCTACAAGAAAAAAAATAAAGTTGTGGTTAGAAAATTGTAGGATTCAATATAACGTTTCTGAAAAAATAAACTGTATAAATTTGAACTTTAAAACTTAAAAAAAAAAAAAAAACCTGTATTAAATCCTTCGTAACTATGAGAGAGGTTTCCTCCTGCATCTTGTTATAAAATATGTATAGAATATCTATAGAATAATTGAATCACAGGTATAGTATCACTTTGGCGTGTTTGCCAGGAGATCGGCTACAGAATATAAAAGGAAAAAAAAATGGGTGTAAACTTGATTGAGTCAGTGACTGAAAAATGTGTGCTTATTTTTACCTTCTTGCATGGAAACTGAACTGAGAATTGTTGGGATTTTTAAGGTAAAATATTTTAGACCACAATAGCTGAACTTAAAGCATAGCTGACTTGGAGAATTAATCTTTCCTATTCAGCCATTTTTGTCTTAAATTTTATAAATTTACTTTGAATTCATTTTGAATTAGTAACACCATCAGTTTCTTTCCAATGGCGGCACTGAATCTGCTGGTAACCTGCTGTCAGCCATCTTGTGACTTAAAAACAGTTTTTATTTCTGTGTAATTTTGGATTGCTTAAAGAGGTTGTGTACACCTTTAAGTTGTTAAACCACTGCCCATATCAGATAACACGTTATGGTCTGTGTTCTCCTTTTCTACGATCAATTTAGTTGTGTTTTATTTGATTTACAGTTATTCATTTTATCATGCTAAATGCTATCAAATTACCAGGTTTAATTCCAATAAAACAAACAAAACATATATGAATACAAACCATTACATGCAATACAAAAATGCAATTTACTTAGTGGAATGTTTTTGTGGCGTATGGATATGACCACTAGATGTTAAGGACAGCTGGGCATTGCAGGAAGTTAGTCAGTATCTAAACATTTCCTATCCCATAATAAAGATGCTCAACAATTTTGTGGGATTGATAGATGAGGTAATATTATTATTGCCATTTATATAGCACCAACAGATTCCATAGCGCTTTACAATATTATAAGAGGGGGGATTTAACTATAAATAGGACAATTACAAGAAAACTTACAGAAACGATAGGTTGAAGAGGACCCTGCCCAAATGAGCAATAAGAGGTAGGGTATAAAACACATTCGGACAGGAAATAGCAATCAAATAAGGTGGGAGTGAAGCAGAGCTGGAGGAGAGAGTAGAGTGCTGCCCTTTAGGAGAGAGCAAGGGACAGGTATGTGAGGTAGATGTTACTCTGGGAGGCCATAAGCTTTCCTAAAGAGATGGGTTTTAAGGCACTTCTTAAACGATTGAAGACTAGGGGAGAGTCTGATGGTGGTAGGCAGGCTATTCCATAAGAAGGGAGCCGCCCGCGAGAAGTCCTGCAAGTGTGAATTTGCCATATGGGTGCGCGCAACGCACTGGAGAAGGTCACGGGCAGAGCGGAGAGACCAAGAAGGATCCTCACAGAATGAGCTTTAAGGTAAGAAAAGGTCTTTATAAAGACTGCAATACTTTGAGTTCTCATTCGAGCAGTCTGATTAGCTGGGTTGTAAGCCAAACCATGGTAGCACTCTGATAGGCAATGGCTGCCCAGTCACTAAGTTTTAATATTTTTTTCTATTATTATTTTTTTTTAATTTTATTTTATATTTTTGTTGTAGCATATCTGGGTCATACAAACAAGTACCAGCACGGTACGCTACATTTTTAAATGCAAGCAAAAGTACAAGGAGAAGTGTGCCACAAATAGACTTAAAAAAAACTTGCATGATGTCACATTATTTCTGACTGGCTAAATGTAATCTAGGAACATCTGCACATTGTGATGTGGACTATGAAGGATCATCGTGTTGAATCGCAGTAAATGGGAGGGAATGAGAGTCCCGAAAGAGGAGTATATGCCTTGCGGTAACAAGCACTGTGATGTGATTAAGTAACGTTAAAAAATAAAAATAAAGTTCTCAATAAAAATAAAAGGAAAATCAGAGTTGGGGCTAACTCTATCCCTAACATAACCGCATTTGGTGCTGTGGGTGGGTGTACGTCACCGCGAACTTCAGGTTTCAGGTGTCCGTGGGTGGCCTCTGAAACTGTCTGCTGACATAATCAGAAGTTGTGGTCTGAGCCAATCGCAATGCTTCCCCATAGGATTGGCTGAGACTGTCAAGGAGGCAGAGCAAGCACAAGTCAAACACAGCCTTGGCCATTCAGCATCTCCTCATAGAGCAGGGGTTCTAAACCCAGTCCTCGAGGACCCCCTACCAGTCCAGGATTTAGGGATTACCTGTATGTGTTTAAGGTGATTAGAAAAAGAAAACAAAACACATTAGAGCCTGTGTTTTTTTTTTCTAAACACCTTAGACACACCCAGGTAATCCCTAGATCCTGGACTGGTAGGGGGTCCTTGAGGACTGGGTTGAGAACCCCTATCATAGAGAAACATTGAATTAATGCATCTCTATGAGGAACGTTCAGTGTCTGCATGCAAAGGGTCAAGACACTGAATGGCAATGCTGCTCACTGTGGAGCACCTCTAGCAGCCATCTGAGAAGTGGCCAGTGGAGGTATGACTTGGCCGTAAAGTAAACACTGCATTTTCTCTGAAAAGACACTGTTTACAGCAAAACGCCTAAAGGGAATGATTCTACTCACCAGAACAAATTCAATAAGCTGTAGTTGTTCTGGTGACTATAGTGTCCCTTAAATTTCTAAGGGGATTTCCAGGCACCAAGCACACTCTTTGTACATTCTATTGGTTATGGTACACTGTCAATGTGTGACAATCAGGGCAGCTGTAACCCATCCTGCCATTAACAGCTATATCAAGAATTATGTTCCTCCTTTTCAACCAAGCACTAATTCCGTGTGCACCCTCTGGAAAGGCATGCGCTATACATATCCTTTCCTCCTCTGACACAATCTTTTACAGCTTTTCATGACTGAACCAAAAACGCAAATTATTTTTACCTCCATTTTTTAAATAAATAAATGGTCAATTTTTTAAATAAATAAATGGTCAATTTTTTAAAATAAATAAATGGAGAATATATTTGCAAATATAGTGATGCCGCTTGTTTTTACTAGTAATGTACTAAATGCGTTATCCCACCTGAATAAGTAGCAGTGCGACTCAAAGATGGGGCATGTCAGCCTGGCATGAATGCTCACGAGGCCGATTGACTGCCTCCTGACTGGCCATAATCAGGCCAGACAATGCAGAGGGTGCTGCTGAAGCTCACTGAACATGATCCTCAGCAGAGCGTAATCATATTTAATGATGCACTTGCTCTGTGCTGGCTGGAGAAAATTCCCTGGTACAAGTAAACCAGCCTAGGACAGCGGTATAGGTTCCCAAAATCAGGGTAGACCATATTGTCGAAAGATTCAGACCTTTCGGAATAGAAATAATTATAATACATCTTGTCTATTACTATGAATACACAAGTCTATGCTTATACCATGCAGCTTTCCCATTTAGGAATACAAAAAGTGATTTTTTCATTTTCTACATTGTTTATACACTAAACTCTTAATTGCAGGAAAAACAACACAAATTCCCCAACTGTTCTATAGTCACAGCTTGGTATAGTATTCACATATTTGGAACCATATTTACCAGGATTTTTTAGACATTTATTAAGCTCAGAACCTAAAGGGACTTACTTTTGTTCTAATTTTAGAGAGAAAATAAATCTGACCACACTATCTTTAATTACACAAAGAATCATGCCTTATACAGCATTCTGCATGTAGACCATGAAACTTTTTAATGAGTACTTTTATAAAGATTACATGCACAAGGTGAGTCACACGAAATATTATATAGAGTTCTTCTGGAGAACTTTATATATTTATTTTGTGTGGCTCCCTTGTGTATTTTATTCTTCTGCATGTACTCATTAAAATGTTTCATGGTCAACATTGAGAACGTTATCTTTGGTGTTCCTTTTTCCCCACTACTCATGCTTGACTGTACATGGGATTAGAACTTCCCTCCCTAGAGTCTCTATTCTGACAAGGGGGGGAGCTATTTTATTTTTCTTTTTTTTAAATTTGGGATCTAGGCTTCTTTATAGTATAGCACACTATTTTTATTTTATGCTAAAATATTCCCATTTTTAGGAGGGGGAGTCACAGGGCGAAGAAGACCATCCAAAGTGTGAAACAGGTGTTTGGGTTGATGGGACAGTGTGCTTATGAGGGTGTTGAAGTAGTTTACTTTTGCAGAGGAAAGAGCCATGCGGTAGGAGCTGTGGTCAGCAATATAGGTGCATTTTTCTTACCAGATATCCAGATGCATTTTCCAAAATCAGGTGTGAAATATTTATCGCTTCAGTGTTGACTTCATTTTCATTTTCTAATACTTCCTCTATGCTGCACATTTCCAAGGCAAAGCATGCCAGAGCCTCAGATAAGCTTGTAGCCTGAAGGAAACAGATGTACGTATCAGAATTACAAGGGTTATTTTATTCAAATGCAATAATTTAGACTAGGCCCAAACTTTCAAGCCACGTGCCACTAGCCAGGCCTAAAGGATACTCCCCATTGCAAGCCTAGAGTTTCCATGGCACACTCATCAGAGATGAATTTCTACGTGCCAGGGTTACATTTTCACTCCCTAATTGCTGCACTTTTGACTTTGAGTCCTGAATGGCAGCCCATATTCTAGTCTCTCCATTTCACAGAATGAGAGCATGTATTAGTTTATGATAATAAAGTCTTCCAAGCCAGTGACAGATATTTCACTGTGTTTGCAGCTTCCTTTCTAGCAAGATAAAGATCTTGTCGCTGCCTTATCGGGAAAAAAACAACTTTTGTCTAATTTTGTTCATTAACCATTTCAGCCCCACAGAGTTTTGTGCAACACCTAATGAATCTCAGGAATGCTTGCCTTAAGTCTACCATCTATCGCATTCAAATAAAGGAAAACATGGAAAAAAAACATACAAGCCGAATGATCTTTAAATATATTGTATGTACTTCTTTCGCTGATGTGCTCAAATACAATTCAACAAGCATTCAATGAATAATAGTCATCTTGTTTACACATATTCAGAGATGTCTAATCATAAGCTTTTTTAGGGAAACAAGCCATTTTCTTATAATTACGTACAACGCTCAGCATTTTTCAGCAAATTGTTATTTGATTCTTCAGATTTAATATTGCCTGCATGTATGCCAATTTTATATGTAATATTGAAATTGGATTAAATTGAGAATGTAAACGATTGGGTTTTAGATCTATATACATCTGTTCTTTCTGAGAATATCTAATACTGAAAATATGTTTTTTTTGCAGATGAAGATATAAGTATTTTACATGGAACATTGAAATATTGGCATTGTTATATGTAAGGATATGGTCAAATATTGCAAATTAAGGGTGTATTAAATTATCTATTTATATTGTAAAGATCACCACTAATAATTACACATGCAACATCTTTGGTTCCTGTTATATATATACACACAATTTTTAATATATATAATTTTTCTTAATATACCTTTTAATATATATATATTTTTAAGTTTTTCAGTCTTTTTATAAATTTTTTATTTTATTTATTTTTTTTATTTTGTTTAGGTACAACAATATGTATCTAATATTGGAAACCAATGTATCCCCGGGTTTTCCCCCTTTTTTATATACTTATTATTCAGTGGTGAATGCTAAGGCCGTTTTCTTTATAATAATGGGCATAATGTAACGAGGTTTTTTGTTACTTGTAGCTGCCACAGTGCTACATTGTAACTTAACTCGAATGCCAGTACAATATCACGTAGCCTCATTCTGCTACGCATGCGCGCCAAATGTCCCGAGAGCTATTGGTCCATACGAGGATCCGTAGCTGGAAGGAGATCGATATTGGTGTGCGCATGCGCGAAGGCAGATTTTTGAGCGCGAAGATCGAAAAGTGGAACGCATATAAGAAGAAAGAACGGCAGCAAGAGAATCACAGCATCCACAGCTCCTGAGGAAGTCCCGAAAAGCGCGGGACGAAACGCGTTGAGCCTGAACCATTTGACCAGAAGATCCAGCAGTCCAGAGACCGTATTTAAGCACCTTTCCTATTTTTGTCTATTCATATTGTCTATAAGCTGCAAGTAGTTATTTAGACTGAGGATTCGCGACCTAAGTCTTTGTTATCCATCTATCCTGCTTGTTAGCATAGCGTTGTTTAGACGAAAAGGTTTTTTTAGAGTCTTATAATTGTACTGCTGTGTAGTGGTCTTTGTTATATTTCACTTTTTACTGCTCGAAGTGCAGAATAAAATTGTTTATCTTTTTATTGCTTTCAATCCTTTGCCTGTATAGTTAAGCGCCCTCTTATAGGTGGGTTTACTCCCATCTTATATCTGTTCAATTTTATATGTAATGTTATATATGTAGAATCACAATTTTAATACCAGTCATTGGACAGCTGACTGGCATAATGAAGGCAACATTTTCAAATTAGAAAAGAAAACACAGTTTGAACGAATGCCATTTTCCAGCTCTGATCTGGAAGGAACGCTATAGAACATTATAGTGTAAGGGATACAAATATGTATAGTGACCTGCTCATTGGTGAGCGTACCTCCTCCGTATGTGAAGCAAAAACATAGTTTATTTACCTTTTCTCCCTCACCATGGCTCTCTCTATTACTGCCTTGCCTTCTTGATTAAGGACATCAGCCTTGATGAGATCAGCCAATCTAATGGTTTTCCTCAGGAAAGCATTAGGAGGCTGGTACACATATGTAGTAAAACGCACTGCTGCACCAATCAGGTCTGCAAGTCTCTAAAACTATCTGTTGAATAGCTAAATTTCACTCTGCTGTTGAGGCTGAAATGCCTCTAGCAGCTGTCATTGTGGCAGCCACCAGACACGTTAGCCCTGCAATGTAAACATTGCCGTTCCTGTAAAACAAAATGTTCTTGGTTGCAGGGTTAAAAGATAGGGAAGTGACACCCAGACCACGTCATTGAAATGAAGTGGTCTGGATGCCTGTAGTGTCACTTTTATTTTACAATGTCTATGTCTATATTCCCCACTCCATTCTCTAGCAAATAGATCCATAACATCATGTTCTTGTACATCAATCTATTAATGTTATTTAACCATTTAATCCATGGGAAATATATCATTAAAATAGTTCAAACACATTTTCTGACAGTCAAAGCATCTTAATCGTAAAATGTAAAAGAGTGGGGTACAACTACTTAAAACAGTAGAATTTAATTATCCAACCAAAGTGAAAGGAAGAATGACTGCACAACTGCTTATAAGTAAAGAGAATGTGTGTATATACATAATACAAGCAGTTGTGTAAAAAAAAAAAAGGTAAATTGCGCAATACATAGACATGAGTAACAAGTTTGATTCTACTAAGGAAATTAACTATTCAGTTCGCTAATAAGCTTCCCCAGTGGTTTTTATAATATATTTTTTAAACTGGTTGTTACACTCCTGTCCCAAATATTAATATACGCAAAACGTGTGAGAATTTATAAATAGATCTTACATTGATTCTGGTTGGTGTGAAAAATTCGTAGCCTTCTGTTACCTAGACAATAAAAGAAACATACAGTTAATAGAGTAATTTTAATCTCTGTCCAGTAACATAACCACATGTAATCACAACATCTTAATTGCTTATTATTTGTATACTTACTTTCTGAAGGTTGTTCAGACTCTTAATATCACTTTGAATAGCTTGTAGAAGATTAACAGAGTCAGTAGCAGGAATTGGAGAACCCTGAATGGAACCCAGCAGTGTGACTGCTCCCAAATATAATACCAACATATGATACATTGCTGTCACCTGTAAAATCAAGCTTCACCTAACTTATGGTTGATAATAATAAGATATGTTAAGTTCCTAATGAAGAATTTATATGCTTGTTCTCTGGGGGCGTTGAGAGTACATTTAGATACTGTATGTACCTACCAGGCAACAAATATTCTTTTCTTTCCTTCCCTGATGACTATTTGGAATTTCTTTTAAGTATCAGAAGCACTGAATGGATGTAGGTAAAATCCCTTGGTATTACCATAGCCCACACGTATTCTGAACTGTTAACGTTTTCTTTTTTTTTTAATATTACATGACGTTTTCTTTGTGGAAGATTTTTTCTCTCTCATTGTGTGTGACATCCATGCATTCCATTGATTACATTCCCTTTGCACAGTCATATTTCTGTTTGAGAGAGAGAGAGAGAGAGAGAGAAAATAAAAAACTTTTTAAGAACAGATTATCACAGGAAATAGTTATTTCCTGTTTCGGTGGTTTTCTGTATCATTGTAACTATCACTTTAGATTTATATTTGCCTTTAAAAAAATAAAACTATAGAAATAATTTGGGCTTTTATTATGGTCACTTAAAAATCTTTATTAACAGATTTATTTAATAAAAACCTGAAAGCATGGCGGTGGAGTTTAATTAAAGAAGCACTCCATGCATCATAACCACTACAGCACCTACTTATTAGCAGTGCACCTATTTACACCCCATGTAAATGAACACTCCAAACACCATAACCACTGCAATGCTCTGTGGTAGTTATGATGCAAGGAGTGCCCTGGTGCACTCCCACTGTATATAGTTTTAGAATGGTTTGATTTCTTACGATCCAAAGAGTGTCTCTCTTCGCCTCCACATTTTCAGACAGAAAACATTCTGCTATCTGTTTGAACTAAACCTGGTGGTGTAGAACTCTCATCAGCTGACACTCTTAAACAATGAACTAACCCTAATCTACAAACTCAGTAGTTTCCAATTAATATTTCAATATTTTTCCAAGGCGACACAAGTCAAAACAAATTTTTAGGATGTATATCTGTACAGCACTGCGGCATATATTGGCGCTATAGAGAAATGTATCGTGTTGGTGTTTAAAGGGGTGCTTCTATAGAAGTTTAGTGTTTTAATACAGTAGTGTGTTTGTATGTAATGCTTGTGTTTGATTGCCGGGGTGTGTTTGAATGTAATGTTCACTTTTAAATGCGGATGTACATTTGTGTGAAGTATTTGTTTTTGAGTGAAGGGGTGTGTTAGTAAATATTTTTTTTTAGTTTAAATGCAGGGGTATGTTTGTATGTAAATTTGTGTTAGATTGTAGGAGTGTGTTTGTATGTTGTGCTGGAGTTTGGATGCAGGGGTATGCTTGTATGTAATATTTGTGTTGGATTGCAGGAGTGTGTTTGTGTGTTGTGCTGGTGTTTGACTGCTTGGATGTATGCACATACACTACCACGTACATAAATAGATACTTACACAGATATACGTGCAAATTAACACACAGATACATATAAATATTTATTTATTTATTTATAAAATATTTTACCAGGTAAGATACATTGAGATTTCTCTCATTTTCATGTATGTCCTGGGTCCACAAATCATTGCATTGTTACAATTAGGGTACAATAAAATACAAAAACAATATTAATACACAATAAATACAATATTTAACATAGAACAGGCAGGAAATATATAATAAACCATGACAGGTGCATTCTGTTTTGAGATATGTAGAGAGGGATCTCTTAAAGGACTTTAGGCTTAGGGAAGATTTTTAATTGTGCGGGAGGTCGTTCCACAATTGCGCTGCTCAGTAGGAGGAGGAGGATCGGGCTGCTTTCTTTTTGTATTGAGGTAGACTAAGTAAAATGCTTGTACTGGATCGGAGATTATAGGAAGTGGGAACAGTTGAGGAAAGCATTGTGTTCAGGTAGGGTGGGAGTGTCCCAGAAAAGCTCTTAAACACAAGGCTGGAAAGATGGAGGGTGCGTCTGAGAAAATACACCGACACATACACATAAATTCATATAGACATCAACACATACACATATAGATACACACTGACACATACACACACCTTGACACACACACAAATGCACACTCTGAAACACAAATACACGCTCCCTGACACATGCACACACCATAACACAGATACCCACACTGACATGAAAACACATACACTGATGCACATACACAGATGTGTATGCACACACAGACACACGGATACAGATACACACAGAAGCACACTGACATATACACAAATACAGATGCACACTGACACACACATAGATGCACACTAACATATAGACGCACACAGGGCCGGACTGGGAAAAAAATTCGGCCCGGGCATTTTTTTATCACAGCGGCCCACTAAGAAGGGGGTGGGGCAGAAAGGGTGTGTTTTGTCATCACTCATGACAAACACTCCCCCTCTCAAAGTGAGCATGTTGGTTCAATGCTTTTCCAGGGCAGACCATGCGCAGAGCTCTGCTGAAGAACTCTAGCATGAGAAAAAAAGCCCTGTATTTGTTCTGCACAGTGCAAGCAAATTTAATAACATGCTTGCACTGTGTTTCCTTGCAACTTATCTCTGGTGTCTCTATAAATGGATACCAGGAGACAAAAGGGCCAGGAAAGAGTATTGTGAATGTGTTTGGAGGCTGCTTGTGGTATTGCGTGTGTGCAGAGTGAGCTGGTCGTGGTGTGGTATTTAGTCGTGTTGTGTTTGTGGTGTAATGTAATGCATATGTGGCTAGGGGCTGTAGAGAATGTGTGTATAGGGGATGTAGCAAGTGTGTGCATACAGGCTATAGTGTGTGTGTGTGTGTACAGGTGATGTAGTGTTTGTAGAGAGTGTGTGTTCAGGGAATGTAGTAATGTAGTATCCAGAGTGTGTGTGTGTGTGTATATATATATATATGAGTCTTGTGTGTGTTTGAAGGACCCAGACTATGTATAGGAGATCTAGTGAGCGTGCGTATATAACGGATTCAGAGTGTATATAGGGATCTAGTGTGTGTATGTGTGTAGATGATCCAGAGTTGGGTAAAGGATCTAGTGTGTGTCTGGAATGTAATGTGTTTAGGGATGCAGTGTGTGTGTGTGAGGGGTGATGTGTGTGAGTGTGCTGTGTGTGTGAGGGTGCTGTATGTGATTGATTTGTGTGAGGGTGCTGTATGTGTGAGGGTGCTGTATGTGATTGATTTGTGTGAGGGTGCTGTGTGTGTGGGTGCTGTGTATGATGTGTGTGAGAGTGCTGCATGTGATGTGTGTGAGAGTGCTGAGTGTGATGTGTGTGAGAGTTCTGAGTGTGATGTGTGTGAGAGTTCTGAGTGTAATGTGTGTGAGAGTGCTGTGATGTGTGAGATTGCTGTGTATGATGTGTGTGAGAGTGTTTTGTGTGATGTGTGTGAGTGCTGTGTATGATGTGTGTGAGAGTGCTGTGTATAAATGTTGTGTGTTGGGGTAAATAAACAAATAAAAAATTAAGTGGGGTTAAATATACAAATAAAAAAAACTAAGGGGGGGGAATAAACAATAAAAAAAAACTATGGGGGGGTAAATAAACAATAAAAAAAACTATGGGGGGTAAATAAACAATTTTAAAAAAAACTAAGCAGGCATTAAATCCCCCCCTCCCTCCTTACCTTTAGCCTGGGAGGGGGGGACAGGCACGTGGTGTCTGGCAGGGGAGGGACCGGCACTCGCACACCATCCCTGGTGGTCCAGTGGTGAGTGAACTCTAGCCATGGCAACGCTCCCGATCTCGCGAGAGGAGCCCGGCGGAGCTGCAAGATAGAGCTCCGCCGGGTCCTCTCCCTCCATCCCCAGCCGCAGGTCTATTTAAATGGGCCGGTGAGGGAGATCTTTGATCTCCCCACCAGCCCTCCATGGAATACAGCCGGGCCGGCGCTCGGATAGCGCCGGCCCTGCATAGACCGGCAGGGGAGATCCTGGGACCTCCCCTGCCGGCCTCGGCCCATGGCCACCGCGGCCCACCGGGCATTTGCCCGGTGTGCCCGATGGCCAGTCCGGGTCAGGACACACACACACATATATATATATATATATATACACGCACACTGACATATACACACACACAGATGCACACCCTGACACACACATACAAGTGATTTATTTTTTTTATATCTCCAGCCACACTCCTGTTAGCTTACCTTGTGTGTCCAGGAAGGTGGGTTGGAATCCTGGTCCTGCTGGCAGGTGGGAGTAAGGGGTCTGAAAAGCTCTTCATGCTCCTCTCTCCTTAAGCAGTGGCTGCCTCCTCTCCCTCCCGCGCTGTCATCCTGAACAAAGCTGGAAGGAAGTGACAGGCTGTCACTTCCTCCCAGCCTTTAGACACTACAGAGGCCAGGTCACAGTCTTAAGGTCCGTGGCATCTGACTGGGCCCCTGTTCTGCAGAAATGTTTCCTGGTGCTATAATCATAGCACCGGGGAAACATTTTGCAGTGCCCCTGTGTGCCTGTCGCGGTGCCCTGGCACACAGTTTGGGAACTGCTGTTCTAACCACTCTTAGCCCCACCCCATGTAACACTTCCTGCATACGACTGAAGTGGTGGAAACAGGGAGCAGTGCCCAGGGAACCCCATTTAAGAAGTCAAACAATTCTACAACAGTTTGACTACTTACACTGGAGTGAAATCAGGGCGCTCCTTGCACCATAACCCCTACAGAGCACTGTGGTTATAGTGTTTGAAGTGTTTCTTTAACCAGGCTAATCAAGCCTTGGATAATACTAGTTGAAAGTAACACTGTATAGACACTCAGCTAGCTGCAAACCAGTATTATTTTCCCTTCTGGACATTATGAACTTGCTATAGTGATGTTGCTATTTTGATAGTCATTAGTTTTACATATCCCCTTCTAATCAAATTGAAACAATCCAATTTAATTGAATTTAGTAGCCAACTAGTGATTTGTATTTTATTAAACTATTTACCATAAATTGATATTGAGTCATATGGGCTTATTTATAGAGAATAATTCTGGACT